TTCAGTTTTCTAAATTGTTCTTTTGGCACCTGATTCAATGTATACAGGCACCTACTTTTCTTTTGAATATGTATGTTTTTTAATACATTAAGTGCAGAAATAAAATCACAGTATGATTCTCTGCTATGAAGAAGTGAAAAAACATTTGTAATTATCCATATTTACTGGGGAGAGGGGTGGGAAATGCTGATGGTAAGAACAGAAGTGAAAAAAAACTCAAACCCTTGGACTGGGAAGTTGGCTCTTTGGTAGAGTACTTGCCTCGCATGCATGAGGCTCTGGGTTTGACTCCTCAGTACCACATAAGCAGAAAAAAAAAAAAAAAAAGCCAGAAGTGCCACTGTGGCTCAAGTGGTAGAGCGCTAGCCTTGAGCTGAAGAGCTGAGGGACAGTGCCTAGGCCTAGAGTTCAGGTCCTACAGCCGACCAAAAAAAAAAAAAATTATCACAAGATAAAAAAAATTATCATGAGATAAATCATTAAGTGTTATACTAGAAAAGTTCTGTAAGACCACAGAAGTTCTAAAGTAAACTAAACATTAAAAAAATCCTAATCCTTCTTTTTTCAAACTATTTGTTATGTAATATTACTTTATTTCAGCAGAGTTTTTGTTGTTTATATTAGATAGTATTTATCAGATATTATAAATATGTATTTTACCAAAACTGGGTCAAATTATTTCTCATTTTAAAAATAATTGTTTTAATATTAATTATGATATACTCACAGCACTGTAAGTACCAGCAGTAATAAAAATATTGTATATATTATTTCCCACAATCCTCACAACAACCCTACCCTCAGTAGAAATATGAGGATCCATCTTTTCACAAATAATGTCAGCTTGAGGACTCAAATGATTCTATCTCAAAATTGGTATTACTATTGAATTTGGAGGTATAAATACATTCCTAACTCAAAAACCAATTTAGTACAATCAAGACCTTTATAAGAAAATATTAATATCTACATATAGCATAATATATTAAAGAAGTTCAAAAAAAAGCCCTAAAACATACATATTTCCAGTAAACATCAACTAAATTTGGATGCATTGTTCTTCAGAAATAGTTAAATATTAAATATACTTACTTGAACAAATATACATCTTAATTGTGAGCCTTTAATTCACTTAATCAAAAGAAAAATTTTACTAGAAATACTTTAGCTTGCAATATTGCTCAGCAATCAAGATCATTTTATATAAAACATATCATAAGGAAGTAGCGCTGTGGCTCAAAGTGATAGAGCCTTGAGCAAAAGAACACAGGGACAGTACCCAGGTCCTGAGTTCAATCCCCACAACTGACAAAAAACAAACAAGTAAATACAACATATCATAAGTTGGTTTTATTTGTGTACTGCGAAAGCTTCCTAAAGGTCCTACTCAAAATGTGCTTCAGAGATCAAACATGTCACCCTTACCTAGAACCTTGTTAAAAAATGTAGACTCTCAGACTCATCCCTAATCTGCAGAAGCAGAATCTGAATATTAATATGATTTACAGATGATTCCTATGCACATTTGTTCTGTAACATAGATTCTTAAGCTGGCCCTAAAGAATAAAACAAATTGCATAAATCCTTGAACATTCATGTAGAATGTTCCACAAGTGAATTTTATATTCACATATTATACTGGAAAAGGATTTTATATATTTTTATGAAATTCTCAAAAACCATATATAACTGATATAGATAAAGAACCACTGCTTTGTAGGCTTTTAGGCTACATTTGCCCTGTTGAAAAGTTAAAACTCCTAATACTCCCAAAACTGTGCTGCTCTCAACAAGGTCTGTGCAAGAATGACAAGAATGAAGGTCAGAACGTCACAGTGGGTCACGAAAGACCTTATCTGAAGAATTTATTCACACCATGCAAGAATTATGCCAAGAAACCAGTTTGGAGACATCTAAATAAATAATTCTCTACATGAGGTTTGAGATTAAGAATGTGCACTTGAAGAAGATTCAAACTGTGAAGTAAATAAATATAAGGTAGGATTTTTTTTAGATGGGATGCCATTAGATGACAGTAAAGTGCTGAATTCTTGTTGTTGTTAAGAGCTCAATCAGCAAATCTCCAATAGGAATTTTCTGATTTGGGATACAAGACCATTTTAAAATATTAACTTCCAACTACATTCTTAACATACTTCATTATGAAGAACCCTGACATATTTTACCAGGCTTATCTTCTTCATCTTCTCTGGACCTCATGGAATAAAGCAGAGTATCATATATATTCTATACAAACTCTGTGTGTGTGTGTGTGTGTGTGTGTGTATGTGTGTGTCTGTGTGTGTCTGTGTGTGTGTGTGTCTGTGTCATCTTTTTATTTATTTTGGTTCTGATCCTGGGGTTTGAATTCAGAGTCTGGGCACTGCCCCTGAACTTGTGTGCACAATGCTAGTACTCTACAACTTGAGATACAGCTCTACTTCAGCGTATTTGGAGATTGGCTCCTAAGCTGGCTTTTAAGCACAATCCTCTGATTTTAGCTTCTTCAATAACTAGGATTACAGGCATAAGCCATCAGCACCTGGCCTATTAACATTATCATCTTATCATCTCTTCAGGATATGTATTATTCAGGGGCACAAATTTAATGTCCCTGAGATATACACATAATGTGTAATTGTCTCTCTTGAGACTGATGCTGTATGATGCCACTATTGTGACTGGTCATTGGTGATGAATCTAATGTTAAACGGTCAGGTCTCCAAGGTAGATCTATATCCAAAACATACCCATCATTAATGACAAAGAGAGTGAATACTACACAATATGCTTCCTGCTCTTGGGTAAAGGTTTCGGTATAAAGGGTAAAAAAAGGATAATATAGGGATAAGGAGCCAGGTACCAGAGGCTTATTATGCCTGTAATTTTAGCTACTCAGGAAGCTGAGATATAAGGATCATGGTTCAAAGACAGCACAGGCGAGAAACTCCATGAGACTTTTTTTTTTTGGCCGGTTGTGGGCTTGAACTCTGGGCTGGGTGTTATCCCTAAGCTATTCAGCTCAAGGCAAGCACTCTACAACTTGAACCATAGCACCACTTCTGGCTTTTTCTGCTTATGTGGTGCTGAGGAATCGAACCCAGGGCCTCATGCATGCAAGGCAAGCACTCTACCACTGAGCCACCTTCCCAGCCCTCCATGAGACTCTTGCTATCAATTAACCACCAAAAGGCTAGAAGTAGAGTTTAAGTGGTAAAGCTCCAGCCTTGAGCAGAAAAGCTCAGGGACAGTGACCAGGCCCTGAGTTCAAACCCAAATTACTGGCACACACAAAAAAAGGGACAAAGATGGAAGAGAAAAAAAAAAAAAAACAGTGAGTCTAATTTTATCCAGAGATATAAAACAATGAAAAGAAGACAAGCAATTGAAGTCAGAGCAGGTTACTGAGTATAGAAGCAAGTTTTCTCATACATTTCAATAGTCACTTTTAAAGAAAATGAAAAGTTTTTGACTATTTTTTTAAAGAAAATAAAATTTGGATCATGATCCCAAACACTTGTACTCACAAAGAAAAATATTTCAAAAATAACTTGAATATTTTAACAATAAACCTCAAATGTCACAATAAATTTATTTTTCAAAACATATTATACTAAGGGAGAAAAATGAAATGGGTGATATTGTTCAAGATCTATTACACTCATAAATGGACATGTTGAATGGTAAACCCATTTGTACAACTATTTAAATATAACAAAAATGCAGTCTTTAAATTTTCTTAAATAAAACATACTATACTTCCAATAACAAATAATATATAAATATGTATTAGTTAATCTCATTCTTAGCCTGAGAGTGACACAGAACTAACTAAAAAGTTATAGATACGTTCCAAAATTCTCAAATACTCCATGATCACTCACTCATATGTTTATTTCCTCCAGAAATGTTTTCTCAGCCTTGGGAAATATATTATTTTAAATCTGAACCATTTTTCAAGACAAAAAAATCTATTCCTCACTTTTAAAAGTAATATCTTTTATTAGTCTCAAGAAACTATTCCAGGGACTGGGAAGGTGGCTCAGTAGTAGAGTACTTGCCTTGCATGCATGAGGCCCTGGGTTCAATTCCTCAGCACCACATAAACAGAAAAGGCCAGTGGCGCTGTGGCTCAAGTGGTAGGGCGCTAGCCTTGAGCTGAAGAGCTGAGGGACAGTGCCCAGGCCCAGAGTTCAGGGTCTATGACCAACCAAAAACAAAAAAACAACCAAAAACAAAAAAACAACAAAAAAAAAAAAAGAAAAGAAAAGAAAGAAACTATTCCAATGTCAGTGAAGGTTCCTTAGACTCTTGGTCTCTAAGTCTAATATATTTTACTCTGATCCTGATATAGTACCCAGTTAGCACAGAAACAAAAACCTGAATTGTTTCAATAATTAAGGAATATAGTAAAACCTTTGGTATCATGGGTATACGGTTCCATGGAGACTTCTCTAGTGGAAAAACTGAATTCTCAAGATGCACAGAATTTAGTACTGAACTGAAGATGCTTGATTCATTTTTGTTATAATCCAACTTCCACTAAAGACATGCCACCTTTCAACGGATCTAAAATTTTCACTTTATCACTGAAATTAAGCACAATCACCCTTACCTTGTTTTATGAATATCATGTCCATTTGCTTTTGGAAAGACATTTTCACAAACAGAAGGCCAAGGAAACATACAGTAGATCACACAAGGATTTAAACACAACTTAATTTTAAATACAGTCAAGATTGACTGTATTTGGTCAAAACTGTAAGTAGTAAAACTACAAATAAGGTTGGGCTTACTGTAAGTTTAAAGTTCTGAAAAGAATTAGAACAGCTTATCTTCATGTACTTTTAGTTACTTTCAATTTAAAAGAAACAATTCTTGAAATTGAATCTGAATTTGAATTGTATTTAATATCCAGAAGGTAATTATTATACAAACTTATATCTCAAACATACTACAAACTTTAAAAGCTACACTTGCCCAGATCAAATGCTAGTTACCTCTTCATCATCTTCCTCATCTTCCACATCGAGAATTCCTGAATCCTGTTCAGACTTGGGGCTAGTGCTTTCCATTTCTGCATCAAAGATTGTGTATGCATCTTTCTTAGATTTTCTCTTACTACCTATCCTGGGTTGCTGCAAGACAATGTTATCCAAATTTCTTTGCTGTTGAGCCTAGGATTTGGAAAAAGAAGGGAGGAATATAGGGAGGGAAGGGGAAAGATAAAAGGTGGGAGGAGGGAGAGGAGAGAAATAGTTTTAAATAAACTACTTTTGAAAAAATTCATTATATTAAAGAAAACACAACAAAACTCTTTAATATATAAAATTTTAGACCCAGAAATGAAATAAAATATATTAATGTATACATTTTAATCCTGAAGTTATCCTATCACAACTCATTTTCCAAGTTAACACAGAAAAAACATAATCAGGAAGTGGCGCTGTGGCTCAAGCAGTAGAGTGCTCGCCTAGAGCTGAGGGACAGAGGCCAAGCCCAGAGTTCAAGCCCCACGACCAACCAAAAATTAAAAAAAAAGAAAAAACATAATCAGTTGATATTATCACAAAATTTTCCTTTTTAAAAAAAATATATAAATACCATGTATTTCCTGATTAGTGCCAGGTAATATCTAAATTGTCTATCCAGAATTCTGGTCTTAGAGAAAAAGGTCATATACAACTACAAAGAAGGTGCATCATATCATCGGGTCCATTTTTCAAACAACTGAGATCCTTTGGAGAAAATCACATTAGTCTTTCCTTTTATCAGAGATTTCTGTTGGTCCTTTTGTTGGTAATCCATTTGTGTCTGCAGTCTTGCAGCCTACGATGCCTTTATTTTTATTGTTGGCTTCTTGTACAGTTTTTCTAGGCCATATACGGCCAACAAAAGGGGAGACCAGAGGGCATAAGTATGGTTCCAGGAATTTTTTGAAGATCCTGAGCAGAACTGGAATGACGATACAAGGAATGCACACCATTGTCCAAGGCTTGAGCTCGGAAACAGAAACCCACTTTGCGATCCGGAAGCCCTCAGGCCAAGTCCGCACTTCACTTCCGGAGCACAAAATTTTTCTAATATATATCACCACAATAAGACATCTACTCATTTTACCCTGAGTACCCAAAAGATTAGTACAAATATATAATAGATATCTCTTACAAGAAAAAGCCATTCTGAAACCATATAGCTGAAAGATGAAGGGTATAGGAACAAAGCTTGAAAATAATTTTTAAAACATTTAAGTATAGGGGATCCTTAAAAAATGGTTATATGGTTATAAGTCCAATAAAATGTAACCATGAGGATGAATTATCTTGAGAGTATTTTTTTCAGTGTTTTCAACTAGCTAACCTAACAGGGTCTTACAATTTACCAAGATCTAATGAAATGTTAAAGTGTAATCCTTTTGGATTTACAAAACTAACTGAAATTACAGCATAGTTTTAATAAATATAAAAAGGAAGAAAACATGGCAATACACAGACAACAATGGAAGCATTAAACTACACAGTGTCACAGCGGGAGTGACCTTAGTCACCACTCAGGAAACTGAGGCTGAAAGACAAAAGATTTGTTTGAGGTCACAAGGCCAGTGAATGGTAAGTCAGAAGCTCAGAGTGTGATCTGAATTCCAGATCACTGATCTTTCCACTACACCAACAGTCCCTCAAAGCATGACAAAAATGTTTCCCCAAATAAAGATTCTGTGTCAAAAATCAATGGGAAACACTGCATATCATGTAGCCTTACTGTAGAAATGCAATGCACATTAACAGATTCAAAGCCGGGAGTCATACTATTTTAACTTGATGACTTTGGTTAAACTTAGCATGTTCCAAAAACATACCCCAATGGGCACCCTCCCCCATTTAATGCAACACTTAGTATCATGTCAAAACACAAAACTTGACCATATAGCCTCTCAGAACATACATTCCTTAATCAATATAATTGCCTCCTTGGTGACAAGTCAAAATTAGTACAGGAGAAAAAAATCTGTTTTCAAATCTTCTGAATGATATTAAAGAATTCAAGATTAATCTTCAGTATAAGGAGTTAGTTCAGGGCCTGGTCAAATGAACAAATTATAACAAGACAGAGAAAAACTTGAACTATGTGAGCCAGTTTCTGCCAAGAAAATGAAAAGAATCTACATTCCAGAGATTTGAATCAATGGACAAACTCGTTTCTCTGCATATTATCTATTGATATTTTGGTTTGTCTTACATTAAATACACAGCTTCGGTAACAAACTGAGATAGAGCAGGCACCCAAAACCAGTTTAAGTTTGTACAGAAAATGAATATAACCTCCAAGCTTTTATGATCCCAAATTCAATAGAAGATTCTTTTATTCCTCTCAAAAGTAAGATATTTTTCCACACTTACATTCATGCAAACCACAGAAGCAAGGAGCAAGGTCTCTGGAGAAGCAAAAAGGACGGGTGAACTTCTAAAGCTTTCTTACTTCAAAAAGTAAGCCCTCAACTAGACCACAATTACTTATTCTCTCCTATCTACTTTCTCTTGGTACCTACCCAACACCAAAACCTTTCGTAAGTAGGGTCCTGTCTTATTAAAATCCAATGTTAAATATTTCTCTTTCACAATCGCTAAAATACTGCCAATGTATCAAAAGTTTAAAAAAAGGAGCCACACTGATATTATCATTTAAGTTTCAAATGAGACAAATCTGAAAAGTATATCATGAAAGTAATTTTAGATCTACATTTTCTTAATTTTTACTTAGCCTCTGATTTCCTCATCAATTCAGAGGAGTGAAAAGTAATTGAACAATGTCAGCAAATTGATGCAGTGAATCCTTCGCTAGAAATCTAGTGTTTCTCATTTATAAGATTGTTGCTTTGTATGTCCCTCCCCCGTGGTATAACCCCTGCTTTCACTGTATTTGATGTTGTTATAATTTGTGGAGGGGAAGGGAAAAAACAAATCTTTTAAATAGGGATACAGGTGGGCTCATTGCAACAATGAGATGTACAAGTCGTTATATCGAAAACGAACTTGACAACTTTGGTGAGGGGAGAGGGTTGGATAAGGGGGATGGGGGAAAGGAGGGGATAGGAAGGGGAAACAAAGGAGGAGGCTACAATGCTTGATAAGAAATGTGCTCATTATCTTGCCCATGTAATTGTAACCCCTCTGTACAGTATTTTCACAATAAAAAAAAAGAAATCTATTGTTTCTAATTGCAACCAAAGTTCAGTCAGAACCTGGGGTCTCACAGAACTACAGATTATTCAGAGAAGATCTACCAAGCAGAAATTGGCCAGGTGGAAACACCAAACTTCAGATAAAACAAGAAAACAAATACTCAGCTATTACTATTTTTGGAGCAAATTACCATGTATTCAAAATATTTTTTAGGAGATTGGCAGGAAGTAATAAAGATAAAATATAGATGTAAATACATAAAATATAGATTGTAAGGAAAAAATGTGATATTAAAGTTCATGAAAAAAATCCAATAAAACCCTTCCCTCTTTCCTTACCATGTAAAGCTGTTTGACCAAGACCACTTATTCTATACCTAAAAGATAACTCTTATTAATGTGCCAAAGAGGCAGCTGATTTTTGCTGAATGGGTTGGATTAGAGACAGAAGAGCACAAAGGCATATATAAGTATAGCACCTAGACTGTAAGAAGGTATTGAAAGTTTTATTTTCCTTGTTGTTTAGCCTCTTTGTAAAAAGTTCATACACATTTTGTCACATTCATATATATTCTTTTCTGATCCCTTAACACATTGAAATTGAGCAGGGACTGGCGCTCAAGTCCTCTTTCACTAGTCTTTTCACTCTCCAAGTTCCAGAAACACATTAGTATTCCTGTTTTCTACCATCATCTCACTTCCAACATATTATCTTCCTACTACAATGACCCTGCAGATGGCCAAATTCTTCTTAAAACACAATCTTAGTGAAGCACTGGTGCTCAGACCTATAATCCTAACTACTTAGGAGGCTGAGGATCAGTGCTCAAAACCTATCCAAGTAGAAAAGTCTGTAAGACTCCATCTCCAAAATAGCAAGCAAAAAGTAGGGCTGGAAAGATGGGTCAAATAGTAAAGAACCAGACAAATAAACTAGTTGTTCAAACCCCAGTACTGCAAGGGAAAAACAAAACAAACAACAAAATAATCTTCAATATGCAAATTAAGCATGAGTGAATTTAGAGAAAGGGAAAGAATTAAACAAATACAAGTTCAAATTCTATAATTTAACTCTTAGATTCTACCATAATGGAAGCCAAACCTAATTTTCCAATGTACTAATTAGTACATTGAACCAGACTCTACCTCCTAAAATATTAAGTATATTTCTACTATATCTTTATAGTATATTTCTACTATATATATTCTACTATATCTTTACTTACCTCCTTTCCATATCCATCAATCTCTTCCTCCCTGAAACTCTTTCCTCCAAAACCCAACTAAAAGTCTTATTCCTTTAGAAAACCTTATCTTACTACCTACCTTACATGGTACATTTTGTTACTACTTTTAGTCAAACATGCATCAAATGTTTTCTTGGTACAAGACACTATGCCACACACTGGGTATATTAAGAAAAAAGGATAATGTCTCTGATTGCACAAAGGAGAAACAGATCAGATCTGCTTGGAGAGGCTGCAGGGAAGATTCATAAAGAGTAGATTCCAAAAGGTGCTCTTACAAAATGAATAGGATTTCTTCTTTTTCTTTTCTTTTTAGTCAGTTGTGAACTCTGGGCCTGGGCACTGTCCCTCAGCTCTTCAGCTCAAGGCTAGTGCTCTACCACTTAAGCCACAGTGCTATTTCTGGCTTTTTCTGCTTATGTGGTGCTGAGGAATCAAACCCAGGGCCTCATGCATGCAAATCAAGCACTCTACCACTGAGTCACCTTCCCAGCCCCTAATTTTTTCTAATAGAGATAGATGGATAGACAATTGAGTAAATCTGTTGGATATTCTGGTTAAAATGACACTGAGACTCTCTTTGAGAAGAGGAAATATTTTACCATTCTGGGAATCCCTCAAATCCAGACACAGTGACTTACATATAGTTAATTTAGATACATATTTATTACATAAAGGTAAATGACAACAAAAGTAACCCATGTAAAAATTATACGTGACCCCTAGCTAGAAAGGGGTATCTACAAAACAA